CTTTAAATGCCCCGCGGAAGAGACAGTCACCACACCTCCACACGAGTGCACACCATCGGTCTCCACATGCCGCCGAGCAGGGCATTTCCTGACACACCTGTCGCTGTACATCTCGGTCCACTGAGGCTTCATGCTCTCCTCCCGCAATGTCCAAAAGATCGCCACTTCCTTTCACACTGCCTCCAAAATGTTCCTAGCCCCCGTGCCCTCCTCTCCATTCCTCTGGCAGAATCCTGGGACTGATTTCCACGGCACTGGCCTTCAATTCCAGAAGGGCCTCCTGCCTGGTGGAAGCCATGCACACACACACCCTCCCCACAGCAAGCGCGCCCTCCCATGAACCTCGCACAGACTGGCTAGGTCACCTCGCTCAGAGACCTTCCATCTTCGCCCACTAGCTACAGAAGAAATTCCAAACATGGTAGCCTGGGCCATCACTCCACAGAGCTCTTCCTAAGTTCAGCTCCTAGTCTTCGCCTTCAAGACACCTGCTCCAAGCAACAGCGACTCCACATCCTGGGGTCAGACACATCAGATCTGTGTTCGCCAAAGTGCTTCCCCCTCATATTCATACATCCTAGGCCTTCACCTTTCTCAACACTCCTCCTTTCCAGGCACATGCCATGCCTGCTGAAAAGCTACACATGCACACACACATGCACACTTAAATGTTTACCACTCAACACATGCACACACATGCAAACATGCTTACAGATCACACTCACACTTTCGTGTGTGCTGACACTCACAGAGTTCCAAGCCATCAATGCCTCTTTTTTCTAAAGTTTCTCCAGCCCGTTTCTGCTTGTCAAGATCACAGGTATCACTATGGACACCTTTAAAGCAAACAACAGACAGCCCCTTTTCTGTGGGGGAGCGGTGTGCATAACTTCCACATAAGAATGCAAAGAATTGGAAGTGAGGCATTTTCCAGGCTGGGGAGAGTAAGTCAGAAACACACACCCCGGTGTGTCGGGTGGGAAAGGTCTGTGCAGGGAACATGAACCCCAGGCTCCCCTCAGCCCCTGGTTCTGTTCTGTCTGACTTTTCCCAGAGGCTGAAACAGTGAGCTGAAACATCTGGCCCTATTTTCACAGCGACTCTTAGGAAGTCCCACAGAATTATCAATCTTGAACATCCACAGAGCCAAGAAAGCAGAGCGCCAGGAGGAAAAGCGCTTCCTCCCAAATGCCTGGCTGGGCTGCGGGGCTGGTCTCCGGGCTTTCCTCCAGAATGTTCACTTTTTCCGTGGCATTGGCCATTGGTTCAGAGGCAGACCAGACCTGCCAACCAGAGCAGGTGGCACCGACCCTGGCCCCAGTTTCCCAGGGCTGGTTAGCCCACGTCTGTCCTCACCCCACACAGGGTGGTCACCCAGCCTAATGCTTTAAAATGCATGAAGCCATGTTACTTCTCTGCAGGAAACCCTAAGGTTCCCATTTCATACAGAGCCAATGACACATCCTTATATTCGCTCCCAGGCCCTTTCTGGTGGAGCACAAATCTGTCTTTATCAGCCCTTCCCCACCCCCTTTCCAGCCACACTGACCACCTGCTGTTCCACTATGCCCAGATGTGCCACACCTCCAAGCCTCTGCATGTGTGGTCCCCTCAGATGCTCAGGGAGGCCCCCTCACCCTTGTGGGGTTCCTGCTCACATGTCACCTTTGCCCATGGGGAACAGCACCCCATCCCAACCCCCACCTGCTGTATCTCTCTGGGTCACTTGCTGGGGCTTCTTATATGCAGGGACCTCTCTCTGGTTTCCCATCTGCATTTCTCTGGACCATTTGATCTTTGAGGGCTGAGGTTTTTATTTCTTCTGTTTGTGGCTGTAAGCCCCGGCCCAGAACAGTGACTGGCATAGAGGGTGTGCCCTGACAGGCAGGTAGAACGAGTAAGTGAAGAAATGAGTGCCTGCATGTGCATCTAACTGCTGCTCAGGTAAACAGCAAAGGTATAAAATGATTCACATTGTTGGGGTGATTTTACTTTTTCCTTTCTGCCTTTCTCTGAGTCCAAATCTCTTTTTCTTTTTTTTTTTTTTTGAGATGGAGTCTCGCTCTGTCGCCCAGACTGGGGTGCAGTGGTGCGATCTCGCCTCGCTGCAAGCTCCGCCTCCTGGGTTCACGCCATTCTCCTGCCTCAACCTCCCAAGTAGCTGGGACTACAGGAGCCCGCCACCGCGCCCAGCCAATTTTTTTTTTTTTTTTTTGCATTTTTAGTATTTTTAGTAGAGACAGGGTTTCACCGTGTAAGCCAGCATGGTCTCAATCTCCTGACCTCGTGAGCCCGCCTCGGCCTCCCGAAGTGCTGGGATTACAGGCGTGAGCCACAGCGCCCAGCCCCCTGAGTCTAAATCTTTCTATAATTGGCATGTAATGACACACAATGGACATGCAATTCCTCACAAGGAACAACTTCCAACAGCCTGGCTTCGAGGAGACGTTTCCAGATGGCTTTATTTCTGTGGTGGCAGCAGAACCCACTTACTGAGCTGCCACAGTCATGTTTAAAGATCTGATCCTGTAACTAAATGAAGAAAGGTAGGGAGTAGCAAGAAATTACACTTAGTAACTTCCCTCTTCATTCTCTGGAGAAGAGAACATGGCCTTTCTACAAGGAGACTGGCACCAGGGACTTGGGAAGGGGCTGGGACCCCACATGCCTGGTGCCTCTCACCCTAGTCTCCCCCTGCACCTGACAGGCACAAAGTGCCAAATAAACACTTGTTGAGATAACAAAATGGGCTCTGATGCGTCTCCCCAAGAATGTGCCTGGGAGGCGAGGATGGAGTTTCATCCATCAAGAAAAGCAGAAACATTGAGAGGCCTCCAACCCAGTATTTCCTGCCCTGCCCCGCCCCACCCCCAACCACATGAGGCCAGGCGAGGACTGGGAAGCAGGAGCTGTGGAATGCGCAGTTTTGCACTGGCTGGTGCCTGGGCTTCAGCACCAACAGGGCTCCAAAACCTAACAGGTTGGGGCTGGCTCAGAGCAACACTTTACTCCGAAGACGGGGATAAATTACCCTACAGGTCTCAATTCCACGCCTCTTTCATTCAACCCTTGAAAAATATTTTTTACTCTAATGGTAAAAGATATGCTCATTGAAGACAATTTGGAAAACTGAAAAATTATAAGGCAGTTCTTTCATCCCACAGGGACAGCTACTGTTGCATTCTCCTCTGTGCTGTATGTGTGTGTGCGCGTGTGTGCGTGCGCATGTGCGCGTGTGTGTGCGTGTGTGTGTGTGTGCACGCGTGCACAGAACTGTGAGTAACCAGCTGCTGCTCAAAATGATGATTTTACATAAGGAAGTCAGGGTCCTCTACGGGTTCATCAATAGTACAACTACCAGCAAGGACAATAATGACATGTAAAGGCATCTGTTATTTACTGGGCAATGGCAAAGTGCCAGAGCAGCGTGAGTGGGGGACATACCTCCCCCAAAAGCATCTCCACACCAGCCCGAGGTGATCTCATCAGCTGGTTTCACAGACCAGGGACTCTTCAGAAACAGCCCTCCTAATACGCATGGCGCCGCATTCCCAGGACACAGCGTCACTCAGGGAGCAAGCACGCTGCCAAGTCCTCCCTTACGGCTCATTTGTTGCAGAGGGACTGGGCTTGCATAACCCACCCTGGCCAGGTGGACCTGTTGTAGCCTGACCAGCACTCCAAGGGACTTCACATCCCCCAGAGAGTCCTATTAAACCAAAGTGACAGCGACAGGGCTGTAGGGCTCAAGAGGACTCACACTTTAGGGAAATAATTTCACAGTTCATAAGCACAGTGGGAAAGAAAGTGCTGGAACTCTTCCCTAGGAATGTGACTTAACTGTGGCATGTTCAACCCCATTACTCAGGCCATGGAGGAGGAAGAAAAAGGCTTTGGCACTGACTTGTCCCGTTGAGGTCGACCATCAAGCCGTGCTGCACGTGCTCCTGAATGAGCTGCAATGTCCGTTCAAAGATTTCTCCTGCCCGGGCCTGTTCAACCGTGTAAGGATCCCTCGGATACCGGAACAAGGCCAGCAAATCATTTGGAGAACGAGGACGGCTAACCAGAGTTTAGGGAGAAAAAAAGGAAGAATGAAACAGATTACTGAAGATAAAATTCACAGTATCCAAAAATATAATCATTGCTATTAATATTTCTACAGCTACTTTCTACAACATAATGTACTATACCTTCCTCATCCGGAGTGGAGGCAACAAAACAAAAACAAAACAGACAAAAACCGGAAGACACTAAAAACAGATAATTAATTAAGTCAATAGAGAAAATTGCAGATATTGCATTTCAAATAAGAGGCAGAAAAACTGCTTTGGGATCAGCAACATGAACAAATACACTAATGACTTTTAAACTATTTGTTTTTGCCAAATCATGTAGTCATAAGCCAAAGGAATGAGTTGAAATTTTCAAAGAATGTTTTGGTTATGGATCACAGCCAAATTCTATTTGAAAAGCACACATCCTTCTGTTATTTCAACCCCCAGAAAACTGGTGCCCATGTTGTTCATGATTTTTAAATTAAACAGTTTGGTCATCAGATAATCAAATCAAAATTCATATACTAGAACTGCATGCATTCTTTAGTCACTCCCACCTTCACCCTAAAGCTCTGTGATTGGAGGGTCAGCATGTTTACAGCCCCGTGATACCTGTCAAACAAATGTGTTCGGGTTGAGTTTATAGCTCTGTCAACAGTTGCAATCGCTTCCACAATGGAGGTAGCTACAAACGGATCTCCATTTCGACTGACGTCAGGAACTAGGAAAATACAAAGTCGCGTATTACCAGGAAAAATACTACACAATTACTCATAAAATGATGTCTAGACACTACATCATTTAGCCACAAGGCATACTTTTCTCCAAATGTTATTTCTATTTTTCAAATCCAAACTCAAATTATTTTCTCACAAATTCTACTAGAAGCTGTTTCAGAGAGCATGAAAACTACAGACTTTAGCTTTTGAAATCATGTTACACCTAAGAAGACAGGAAGTAGTTATAACGTGAAGCATGGAAGATCTTATACTACATGTGGCAGCACATGGGAGGTGTGGACTGAGGCCTCCCTGTGTGGTCAGCTGAGCGGACAAGATGTCTGTGGGGACACCTCAGGGTCCAGCAGATCTCATCCATTCCTCTCATCAAGGGCCACAGCCTCCCTGCACACCGGGATCCTAACCCACCCCCCTCTTTAAAGATCTGCTGCCTCCATGATCCCATCTTCTCGCCCGTGGACTTGTATCATTACACAGGGCAACTCCCTCCTCACACACACCACACATCACACACACACAATCACATTATACACACAGAAGCACACACAGCACCTACATAAAACATTATACAGAGACACACACACACTATACGTAGCACATTACATGCATGCCACACACAGATCCATACCACACACATACCACACACACAGCACATTATACACACATATCCCATTATACACACAAACACATACCCCACACACACCACATTATATACGCAGAAACACATATACCACCTACACAGAACATATAGACACACACCACGCCACATATAACACATCACACACACCACACAGATACATATCACACATGCACCACACATGTAGCACATTATACACACACAAATCACATTATACACACACCACACACACATCACTTTATACACACACAGCACATTATACACACATATCCCATTATACACACAAACACATACCACACACACACCACATTATATATGCAGAAACACATATACCACCTACACAGAACATTATATACAGACACACACCACGCCACATATAACACATCACACACACACCACACAGATACATATCACACATGCACCACACATATAGCACATTATACACACACAAATCACATTATACACACACCACACACATCACTTTATACACACACATCACATTGTACACACAAACACCACACAAATAACATTGTACACACACACCAGAGGTACCCACCACACACTGCACATTATACACAGACACACAGACACCACACACACACCTGCCCCTCCTGACAGAAACCTGCCCCCACCTGACTGAAACCTGTCCCCTCCTGACAGGGATCTGCCCCGTCCTTACTGGGATCTGCCCCTCCTGACAGGAACCTGCCTTCTCCTGACTGAAACCTGCCCCCTCTGGACAGGGACCTACCCCCTCCTGACATATCCCACCTACATAGCACATTAAACACAGACACACACCACACATAGGACATGACACGCACACCACACACAGAAATACGCACCACACACACACAAGATTATACATACAGATACACACAAAAATCACACATCCATCACACTACACTCAGATACACACCACACACACATTGCATTAGACACACATACACACCACACAAATACAACACACCCAGCACATTATAAATAACCACACAGCCCACCAAACATACAGATACACACGACACTATACACACAGATACATACTACACATGCCACACCATAGCACACCACACATACCCATCACACTATATAAACACACATACACACACCACACAACACACACACCCCCCAAACACCACATAAACACACAACATACACAAACACATCAAACCAAACACAGAAACACGTACACACACAATCGCACACCTTATCTACCCCTAAAGTTACTGCCCTCTTTCTGGTTCCCTCTTGTCATTCTTTTCTGCTTAATACTAAGTCCCTAGTTGATATTTTACCAAATACTATAAACTAATTCTAACCAACTTTTATTTTTAGTGATAAAAACAGCTCTAACCATCTCACGCAATGACATGAACCCCAATAAATCCAAAGTTGATTTCATTTTTCTTCAACACACGCAATCTTTTGACAGACGCTGACACAGCTCAACGCACCCTTACAAAAAGGCTTCACTCGGCTGCTGGGACACAGCCCTCCATGGGGACCTGCCCCTCTTCACAGAGACCTGTCCTCTCCCGACAGAAAGCTGCCCCCTCCTGACTGAAACCTGCCACTTCCTGACAGGGACCTGTCCCCTCCTGCCTGAAACCTGTCCCCTCCTGAATAAAACAGGTCCCCTCATGACAGGGCCTGCACACTCCTGACTGAAATCTGCCCCATCCCGACTGGGACCTGCCCCCTGACAGGAACCTGCCCCCTCCTGACTGAAACCTGCCCCCTTCGGACAGGGACCTACCCCCTCCTGACCGGAAGCTACCCCCTCCTGCCTCAGACCTACCCCCTCCTGACTGGGATCTACCCCCTCTGACTGAGAACTGCCCTCTCCTGACTAAAACCTACCCCCTGATGACAGGGACCTGCCCCCTCCTGACAGGGACATGCACTCTTTAAACTGCAACCTAACCCCTCCTGACTGGGCAGGGACCTGCCCCCCACCCGACTGAGATCTGCCCCCTCCTGACTGAAACTTACACTCTCCTGACTGGAACCTGTCACCTCCAGACTGGGAACAGCCCCCTCCTGACAAACCAGCCCCAACCTGACTGACACCTGTCCTCTCCTGACAGGGACCTGCCCCAACCTGACTGAAACCTGCCCCCTCCTGACTGGAACCAGCCCCCTCCTGACTGAAACTTACTCTTCTCTCCTGACAGAAACCTGTCACCTCCAGACTGGGAACAGCCTCCTCCTGACAGGGACCTGCCCCCTCCTGACAGGGACCTGCCCCAACCTGACTGAAACCTGCCCCCTCCTGACAGGGACCTGCCCCCTCCTGACTGAAACTTACTCTTCTCTCCTGACAGAAACCTGTCACCTCCTGACTGGGAACAGCCCCCTCCTGACTGACTGAAACCTGCCCACTCCTGACTGAGACCTGCCCCGTCCTGCCTAAAACCTGGCCCCTGCTGACTGAAAGCAGCTCCCTCCTAACAGGGACCTGCCCCCTCCTGACAAAGAACTACCCTCTCTTGACAGCGACCTGCCCACTCCTGACAGGCACCAGCCCCTCCTGTGTGAAACCTGCCCCCTCCTGACTGAAACCTGCCCACTCCTGACTGAGACCTAGTCCCTTCCTGACAGGAACCTGCCCCCTCTTGTCTGGAACCTGTCTCCACCTGACAGGAACCTGCCCCCTCCAGACTGGGACCTGCCCCCTCCTGACTGAAACCTGCCCCCTCCTCACTGGGACCTGCCCCTCACTGTGATTTGGTTTCTCCTGGTCTCTTCCTTCCTCCTGAGCACTCCTCTTCAGCTGTGGGCTCTCGCACTCTCTCTCTCTCTCTGAGTCAGGTCAGTCCTACCCTTGCTCTCTGTTACCGTCTCTGCACGCGTCCACTGTCAGTGTCTTTATGATCATTCTGCTTTGCCCGCCAGGCCTCTGATGCTGGAGCTCCAGCCCAGTGACCAGGTGTTCCGGTCCTCCGCAGCATCTCCCTGTGTGGTTCCATTTCACGCTGTTGTCTTAACATTCCCAACTTGACACCATCGTCCTGACGTCTCCCTGCAGTTCACTTCGTGCCTCTAACCACCCACTCCAGGCTTTTCCCTTTTCCATGCTCAAACAGGACTCCTCCATCGCCTCTTCCCCCAGGCTGGCTTCTCCCCAGCTGTTTCTGGGTCTCAATCAGTGACACTGGCAAAGCCCAGCAGTCACCCCACAGTGCAAGCCAACTATTGCCAGGCCCCTCAGATCTGCTGTTGGCCGCCTGCCCAGGGACTGGCCCTGCAGAGCCCAGCTGTGCGCCCGGATGCAGGCACTCCTTCTCCCACTTGGCCGGGCACCCTCTGCTGTCCTCCCAGATACCTCATCCCGGGCACTTCATCCACAACCCAAGCCGAGTCTCAGGAAAGCAGACCGGCTCGCGGTGCTCCCTGCTGGGAACTTCCTCATGGCGTCCTGGTATGTCCGCAAGGACAGTCGAACTCTGCAGCCCGGTCAGCACCAGCACCCCGAGAACTGCCCCAGCCCTGTGCTCCCCACCCCCTCGGCATTAGGCTCATTCTGACCCCAGAACCCCACCCCTCTACTCTCCCCGACCAGGCTGCCCCCTGCTACCCCCTCATCTCCCGTGGCTCCTTCTGCTCAGAATTCAATAGTCAGGCGAGTGCTGACCCCCTCTGCTTCCCACTTTGACCCACGCCTTGCCCTGCGGTTCCTTGTGGACTCCTCACTATCTGAGTGTGACTGTGAGCTCATCTCACTGCTTCTTATTCATCTCAGGATCTAACTCCACGGAGCCGAGCGCCTGGCGCACCTGGCTCAGCACTGAGGACAGAGTCCAGCCCACAAAGGCATCTGCTGAATGAATGACCAGGCGGCGGCGACTATCGGTGTAACTGGGTCAACCCAGGGCCCTTCTGAACCACCTTCTTACAACATGTGTTCACACCCAGCTATAGATGGACACCTCCAGCCTCATTTACTTCACTGCTAACAAACATCACAGGCATGTGGATTAGGTGGGCTTGTCGGCTATTTTACATATTTGAGGAAGGTACACATGGACAAATCAAATGGCTGAAAAGAATTTCAGCTAGGCAGAAACTTTACTTTTGTGTGTATCTCAGAGCTCAAACACTAATTTTTGGAATGCAATATTTTTATGCCAGTAGGTAGATAAGTCATACCATTTTACATAATTTTATGACTCTAATATTTCATTCTTATTAATAGTTTAAGTGGAATTTGTTTTTCTACAAGCAATGATAGAAAAATAATCCAAAAACATTTCTTTATCTACCTTTATATAAAAAGAAAAGAAATCCAACCACAATATTAATGATGGTATTTTGAGGGGATGGAATTATGGGTGGAAGATTAAATTTCAGATGTAGTTAATTCATGTTAAGGTGGCATTGTTTCAAGCAAAAAACAAATATTAATTTAAAATAATCTACTAGCTTTTAAGTTTCATCAACTTAATTTTACACTTAATTTTACATCAACTTTACATCTCACACTCTACATATAATGGGAAAATAAGGTCACTTAAGACTTTTCCTAAATAATTCTGAAAAGTCTTTTTTCAGAATTCCATTACGGTTCACATTTACGTCTGCCATGTTCATGGCACTGAGGGGGGTCACTCTTCTTGTCTGTTAACAAGTCCCATGGAGAAGGCGGATCAGTCACGACGAGTGGAAAAGGCAAAAACAGAGTCACAGTGGAGGCCCAGGGGGAGGGCCAGCGCCCGTGAGGAGTGGGGTGATGGTCAGAGGGTCCTTTACCCCGTGAAGGGGGGTTTGTGCACGTTCTCAGAGTGCTGTTAACTCTAGGGGGACAGAGCTGGAGTGGGAACACACCACTGATGAGATGCAGGTTTGGGTCACATCATAAAGACTCCATGCAAAGCTAAAGGGTGTGAGTGTCACCATGGTGGCCACAGGAGACACGGAGAAGGGTCAGGGACACATGATGGACATCACTGGGTCTGTGGGTTGAGAAAGAGGGGCCAGGGCGACCCGGGCCTCTGTTACAAGAACCCGGACAAGGTGCCAAGGGCCTCGGGGTGAGTGGGATGGAAGCGGTGGGGGAACCAGGATGCAAACAGGCAGATGCAGGCATGGAGTCAGGACGGCTCTAGGACCACTGACTGGATCTAGGTAAGGCTGCCTACAAGCACCTAGAGGTTCCCACTGAAAGACGCTTCCGGAGCATTCCTGGCCACAGCCCGGGGAGAGAGACACCGCAGCTAAGGAATCGGAATCTCATCAAGCAACCACATTTGCCAAATTATAACTGTAAATTACACCTGGTCATTTCTGGACAGATGCGGACGACCCGAGAGCAAACCTCTGCCCAGTGGACAGGCTGCAGGGTAAGGCGTTGCCCAGTGGACGGGCTGCAGGACAAAGCTCTGCCCAGTGGATGGGCAGCAGGGCCTGCAGGTGCCTGAGTGGAGGGGAAGGGCTGGCGAACAGCCTGGCCATGCACCAGGAGAGTGTCCCCACCTGGGAATCACAGGTGCTCTGTCTTCTGAATAATTCTGAACACCTAAGCCAATGGGCCTGGGACGGCACTAGGGCCCTGCCGGCTTTCTTTGTGGATACCACATGGGTAGATGTGGGCATGTAGCATCTTACCGTTCACACTGAGCACCATGCTCACCGAGGCCGACCCAATGGTGTTCCGGGCTACACACTCATAGCGGCCTGCGTCTGCAGGGCCAACGTCATTGATGGTCAAGAATCCTTCAGGGCTGATGTGAAATTTTCCGCTTTCTGTCACCTGAACCCCATCCTGGAGCAAAGCAGAATGAAAACAGTAACAGAAATAAGACTAAGAAGCAGAAGTTGTCTGACCTAGGGTTGGGGGAGGGGAGACATTTGTTAGGATTTGCAAATGGAGAAGCTCCCAGGCTGTGCTCGGATCCATCCAGGCCTGGGAAGGGAAGGAGACATGGTCAGTTCTTCCAACGCCAAGCTGGCGAGATAAACTCCACATCTCATTCTTCAGGAGAACAAAGCTTGATAGCTTGAGGCAAGGATGATTTTCCACAACGAGAAGAAGCGGCACCAATGATGACTCCCTTAGACACCCGCCATGGTGGGGGGCCCTACAAAGAGACCTAGGAGTGTCTCGGAAAGAGAGGGCACTGGTCCAAGGGCAAAGAAGGATTCAGAGGCAGACACAGAGGGACAGGTGACCTCCCAGCTGAGGCAGGAGCAAGAGCAGATGCCTGGAGTGTGTGCGGCGAGGAAGGAAAGGACACAGAGATTTACAGGGAGTGCAGGGATGCGGTGGAGGACGGGACCGTCTCCACTGAGCACTCTCCTTCTGTGGGGACCAGTGCGGCTGGCCCTGTGCTCCCGGGAGGGATTTCACAGAAACACGGGTCGTGGTGTATGAGTGCTGCCCACATCTTCCTATTGAGCTTAATAAAAACAGCAAAGAAATGAAGTAACAATGTAAACCCTTCCTTATTGATGATGAGACCATAGTTCTGTAAGAGGGTTATTCTTTGCTTTTGTTACGAAAAAGAGTAAAAAAATGGAATGCTCCAAGTTTGTTTTGTTCTTATTAGTAAGGATGCCCCGAGAAACCTCAAGGCTTACAATCTGAATGCTTTTCTTTCTGCTACAGAAAGTCTGTAGAGGAAGTGGGCAGGCAGCAGCTGTCCAGCCCATCACACCCCACAGCAGAGGGGAGGCTGGGGCGTGGGCACTGCCGTGCCTACCTTGTTCCAGGTGGTGGGTGGTGTGGGCGCCAGCCCGTCTACCTTGTATCTGGGTGGTGGCTGGCTCGGGCACTGGCCCACCTACCTTGTTCCAGGTGATGGCTGGCTCGGGCTCGCCCTGGGAGCTGCATGGGAGCTGCACATTGGCGCCCACCTCCACCGTTGTGTCGCTGGGAATGCTGGCAAACACTGGGGTGACTGGAAGGCAGATGTAGATAATCCAGGAAAATGAGTCAATTACATCAGAAAACTTCAGAAGAACAAAATCCCCTGCCCTCCATCAGGCCCACCCAGGGATGCTGGCAGCTCGTAGTCAGTTTCAGAATGGGCCCTTTCCCTGCCTCCCAGCAGCCTCTGCACAGGGCGGGGGAGCCTGAAAGGTCCCAGGGAAGATCCGCCCGCCTCCCTGTCTCCCAGGGCAAGGAGAGCAAAGTGCAACCAGTGTCTTCCCTGCTCAAACAGCCGCAGGGTCCAGGACGGGCTGGCGGCCACGTCCTCCAGCCCCCGCCCCTCACCGATGGCATATGCTGTGCCGCAGGGCCCACGGAGGACAAGCAGCTCTGGGGAGAGCCCCACTCTCGGAGAAGGAAACAGAGGGGACCTTCCTCCTCTGAAAGAGCAGGAGCGTGGCTGACTGCGGGGATCGGGGGGGCCGCTCAGAAATCCCACCCCCGCATTCTCTACACAGGCACCCAGAGTCCCGCTAGGTCAGGGACGCAAAGGGCAAGCCCAAGAAACACAGAGCCAATCCGACGGGTCAGGCGTCAACAGCCTGCTGATGACAGGCCGGGGGAAGCCCCTTCCAGAGGTCCGCAGCGTCTCAGGACATCCCCAAAAGGGACACAAGGAAATCCAGCCCTATCCTCCCCGCACGTCATCTCTGCCCCACTCCCCATGGTCTCCATGATAAGCTCAGGGTCTGTGGCCACCTGGACTGCTCTGCTCTCGGGGCCACTCATGCTAACACTGGAGTTAGCACAGGACGCCTGCAACACGGGGGCTGGGTCAGAGGCCTTCGCTCTTGCAGAGGCCACAATCAGTGCTACGCTGACTCTATCAGGAGGGATATGAGGTTGCGGGGATCCTTCTCATTGCAGAGAACAGGCAAAGGCAACATCCAAAAAGGACAAGAGGAAGGCCGGGGTCCAAGGATGAGCGGGCAGGCAGGAGAGAAACCGGATTTGGCCCTCATGACACATCATCTGGGGTCTGTGCCTTAGGGGTGGACTTGATTACACTGTGTTCCTTAAATAACCACCCCAGAAAGGGTAGTTAGAAACAACCCTTTTCTAAAATAATCTTAATTAACCAAGGGGAAAAAAACCAAACAGACTTTAACAAGTCAATCTTATCCAAGTTCAAAACAACCATCACTGAAAAATAAGCAAATGTTTTCACCAGCTAAAGGGGCAGAGATTGAATGAGCTACTATGCAGACGTCTTGGGGGCACAAGCACAATGATGGTGCATAAAATGCAGAGAGAAGAGCCAACGCTTCATAACAAAGAATAATACTAAGGTCAGCTGCAGAATCTGTGTTTCCTGATGACTGATCTGAGAAAATCAATTCAGTCCACATCCTCCTGGCACCTACCTCTGGGCTGCACAGTCAGGTGGGCCACGACCTTCTGGGAGCCGATGATGTTGACAGCCTGGCATTCGTACTGGCCCTGGTCGTGGAGGGCAACCCCGGAGATTCTAAGTGTTCCCGACGACAGGACCAGGTGCCGCCGGTCCACGGAGAGCTGGCTCCCTGCAAGGGCATGGGTCCATTACACTGGACACTCGGACGTATGGAGAACTCCTGCTCTCAAACTGACAGCATCACAGACGCTTGTCTCTACCTGGGTCGGGGCGCCGAATAATTTGGCCTGGCCCTGCATAAGCAAATCTTTGACACCCCAGCAGACACTATGGTGATACCTGAATGTCCCCACACCCATAACTGAGAGAGAGGGGTTGACAGGGTCAGAGAACAGTGGGAAAAGCATTACACAGGGATCCAGGAAGATGTGGGGACTCGGGGGGGGCTCTAGTGGGGGCGGATGGCCAGCTGGGAGAACCAGGGCAGGGAGCCAGGAAGACGTGGGTACTCGGGGGGTCTGAGGGGGTGGATGGCCAGCTGGGAGAACCAGGGAGAGGACTGAGTGCTGGAGATGATGAAGAGTCAAGTGAGGCCCCAGCACGTTCCTTTTGGGGATAAATCTCTTCTGTTCCGCCCATAACTGCCTGAGAAAAGAGAAGTCCAGGGCATGTGATGCAGGCATAGGCCTCCTCCCCAAAGACTCCTGGGTGGGGCCCCTCAGAGGGATGAAGGGATGGGCTGGCCATTTGGTGCAAGTTGGAGTGGACAGGTCTCAGGGCCACTGCCTGCATCCCAGGACAGGAACCAGGAGGTCTGTGTAGCTCCTTCTCCAGCAGTTTCAGCTCCTGCCTGCATCCCAACCCCCATCCAGGCTGTGCCTTTACACAGTTACGTGCCCAGTGACTTTCCCATTGAAGGAAGAGCGCTGGGACTGTAGGCAAAGAATGTGATGAAAGGTCACGACGCTGAACGGGGAGGTGACAGTGAGGGCTCTGGGAAGCAAAGTCAGAGCAAAAGCTGTTTGTCTGTTTCAATGTAGTCCATGACTGTTTCCAGAAAATTCTATCCACCATGCAAATAGATTCCTTCAAGATGCTACTTAAAAGCACGACCTAGAGACTATCTGAAACAAGGCAGGTGTGAGGGAGTTAAAGGCAGGAACCCCAAGTCTCTTCTGTAATGACAGAGCTTCTTAGAGTTTCCTGCCATGATGTCCATGAGGGACAGCCATGCATGGACAGGAAGCCACGGAGGGGTGTGCAGACACCTCTACGCTTTCCAGTGCCTTGGTCCTGTGGAATCCAGTCCCAGCTCAGCCCTGTCCAGAACACACTGGGGGTTGCCTGGGCACGGTGGAAAAGTGTGCTTCCTGTGTCTGTGGCTGCAGAGGGAGCAGGCAAAGGCCTGGGGCCTGGCTCTTACCTCCCTTGGTCCAGGCAATGACGGGCGGCGGGTTGCCCTTGGCTTCACACTGGAAATCCACGGTCTGGCCCTCGATGACGACTCTGTCCTGAGGCGTCACAGTGAACTGAGGAAGAGCTTCCGGAGAGAAAGCATTCGAAACAGGACATGTAAAAAGCAGCATGGGGTAAAAACGCCACCAAGAAAATGACCACAGTCTTGGCAGACACCTGACGGTTAGAAGCGATGTCTACAACGAAGAGTCAGAAAGAGGCAGAGGGCACAGGAGAAGATGGGAGCGAAACAGAAAGAAGATGAAGGACGGGTGAGTTCTCAGCATCACCCTGGAAAGCACACAAAGACTGTTCAACCACACCGTCAGCTGCAATGCACACAGGGCACAGATGAGGCCACACTGAAGCTTGTGGACACCAGGCCGACTTACAACGATTCCTCTCAATCCTCACCCTAAACTAATATTTGCAAATGCTTAAAAAAATGCCATCTGGTATAGCTGTGTGCGATGATAGTGGTTATTATCACTGGATGAAAAACATGACTTACAGAACAGTATTGTCTGGTATGATTCCATTTTTATACAAGTAACAGCCACAAAAAAAGTAAATCCACCTAACACGGCTGCATTGGTGTACGTGCAAATAAAACCAGAAAGATGCTCGACAGATTGCCAGTGAGACAGCAAAGGGTTGAAGAGCGGCTGGCAGAAGGAAGTGATTTCTCTATCTCTAATATCATCTCTAATAATTTATCTTTTGCACTTCTGTATTGTTTGAATGTTTTCCAACACACGTCCCACTTCACCAGAATAACTCATTTTACAGTCCATTAAGCAATGTAGAAATACATAGCAAAAGGCATAAAATGATGAATACTCCCAGGAGACTACATCCAAAACTAATCTTAAGGAAGGATTCAAAGCTGTCTGCAAGGTGTATCAACCACCTTACTGCACATGTGCATGCACACACGCACACACACACACACACACAAACACACACACACACACTCACTTATCCGACAGACACTCCTGCTGGCCAGGTGCTTGAGGTACAGAGACACCACAGCCAGCACACAGAGCCCGTCCTACTGAGCCTTCTGATTCAAAAATCTACAAATTGCGATCGTCCGTAGGTAGCCCAATGGTGGGGGCGGTGTAATAGATAAAAATAAACCGAGTGAAGTGGACAGGGCAGAGATTCTATGGAGCGTTGGTGGGTATGGCAGTGCGAGCTGGTGGAGCGGGGAGGAAGGGGCTGAGCCCCGGCTCTGGCACAGAGGATGGATACCCACCCTGGACGATGATGAACGCAGTGGCATGGACGCTGTCAATGCTGTTGGTCGCAGAGCACGCATACTCTCCGCTGTCCTCCTGGATGACGTTCTGTATGTAAAGCCCGCCAGAAGGTGTGATGTTCACTCGCGGGTCGACGGGCAAGGGTGTGCGGTCACCTCTCGTCCAGGAGATTCGCGGCAGGGGGTGGCCTGCGGCGCTGCACTCCAGCGTGACGCTCTCCCCAACCAGCACCTCTGTATTCTGTGGCTGGATTACAAAAGTGGGTCGAGCTGTCACAATTAAACAGAAATTCTCAATTAATTTCTCCCGGTTTGACATGGTTTTTGCTTGATTTTTCCTATGTCAGGCTATTAATTCTATTTACCACCAAAATAGGGCAAAACAAACACAATGTAACTGCATATTTTCTTTTTAAAGAAATGTGCAGACAATAAAAATGGTTCACAGCCTCGGGTCAAACAACATGCAGGCCACCTGAGCAAAGTGAGCAACCATGGCTGCTTAGGAAGAGCTAACGAGGAAGGGCTTTTTCTTAAAACATGTGCTGAACTCCATGGAGGATCCTTATTTCTAAATAAAATACATTATGTCAATCTTGTTAGACCTTGCTAGTAGTTCCTACTGGCACAAATTATTGTTAGTGAAGTATATTTAGAGTATACAAAAATATCAAATTTACTCATAAAAAGTACAAATTAAAAGTAAGCAAGAAATAATATTTTTCAAATTTAAATCCAGAAAAAAGCCCTACAATTACGAATGTGTTTCATGCGTGAGTTTGTGTGGAAACAGAACTCTCCCACGCTGGTAGTGGGAGCACGCCCTGGCCCAGCCCACCTGCAGAGACGTGGCCGTGCATACCAGCACTGAACATGTGCATACTCTATTGCCCAGAAATTACCCGGCTAAACAAAAGCTAGCAGAAGACAAGAGATAACTAAGATTAGAGCGTAACTGAAGGAGACAGAGACACGAAAAACCCTTCAAAAAAAAATAAATGAATCCAGGAGCTGGATTAATTTGAAAACATTAACAAAATACATATTTTGTTAATCTGTTTGACAAGCAGATTAGATAGACTGCTAGCCAGACTAATAAACAAGAGAGAAGAATCAAATAGGATAAAAAATGATAAAGGGGATATCACCCCTGACCGCAAAGAAATACAAACTACTATCAGAGATTACTATAAACAGCTCTACACAAATAAACTAGAAAATCTAGAAGAAATGGGTAAATTCCTGGACATATACACCCTGCCAAGAGGGTATTCAAATAGGAAGAGAGGAACTCAAATTGTCTCTGTTTGCAGACGACATGATTGTATATTTAGAAAACCCCAACATCTCAGCCCCAAAACTCCTTAAGCTTACAAACAACTTCAGCAAAGTCTCAGGGCACAAAATCAATGTGCAAAAATCCCAAGCATTTCTCTACACCAATAACAGACAAGCAGAGAGCCAAATCCTGAGTGGACTCCCATTCACAATTGCTACAAAGAGAATAAAATACCTAGGAATACAACTTACAAGGGACATGAAGGACCTCTTTAAGGAGAACTAGAAACCACTGCTCAACGAAATAAGAGAGGATACAAACAAATAGAAAAACATTCCATGCTCTTGGATAGGAAGAATCAATATTGTGAAAATGGCCATACTGCCCAAAATAATTTATAGATTCAATGCTATTCCCATCAAGCTACCATTGACTTTCTTCACAGAACTAGAAAAAACTGCTTTAAATTTCATATGGACCAAAAAGAAGCCCATATAGCCAAAACAATCCTAAATAAAAAGAACAAAGCTAGAGGCATCACACTACCTGACTTCAAACTATACTACAAAGCTACAGTAACCAAAACAACATGATAGTGGTACCAAAACAGATACATAAACCAATAGAACAGAACAGAGGCCTCAGAAACAACAACACACATCTACAACCATCTGATCTTTGACAAACCTGACAAAAACAAGCAGTGGGGAAAGGATTCCCTATTTAATACATGGTGCTGGGAAAACTGGCTAGCCATATGCAGAAAACAGAAACTGGACCCCTTCCTTACACCTTACACAAAAATTAACTCAAAGATGGGTTAAAGTCTTAAACATAAAACCTAAAACCATAAAAACCCTAGAAGAAAACCTAGGCAATAACATTCAGGACATAGGCACGGGCAAAGACTTTGTGACTAAAACACCAAAAGCAATTGCAACAAAAGCCAAAAGTGACAAATGGAATCTAATTACACTAAAGAGCTTCTGCACAAGAAAAGAAACTATCGTCAGAGTGAACAGGCAACCTATAGAATGGGAGAAAATTTTTGCAATCTATCCATCTGACAAAGGTCTAATATCCAGAATCTACAAGGAACTTAAACAAATTTACAAGAAAAAAACAAATAACCCCATCTAAAAGTGGGTTAAGGATATGAACAGACACTTCTCAAAAGAAATTTACGTGGCCAAGAAACATATGAAAAAAAAGCTCATCATCACTCATCATCAGAAAAATGCAAATCAAAACCACAATGAGATACCATCTCATGCCAGTTAGAACGGCAATCATTAAAAAGTCTGGAAACAACAGATGCTAGCAAGGATGCAGAGAAATAGGAATGTTTTTACGCTGTTGCTGGGGTTGTAAATTAGTTCAACCATTGTGGAAGACAGTGTGGCAATTCCTCAAGGATCTAGAACCAGAAAAATAATTTGACCCAGCGATCCCATTATTGGGTATACACCCAAAGGATTATAGATCATTCTACTATAAAGACACATGCACACGTATGTTTACTGTAGCACTATTTACAATAGCAAAGACTTGGAACCACCCCAATTGCCCATCAGTGATAGACTGGATAAAGAAAATGTAGCACACACAGACCATAGAATACTATGCAGCCATCAAAAAGAATGAATTCATGTCCTTTGCAGGGACATGGATAAAGCTGGAAACCATCATCCTCAGCAAACTAACACAGGGACAGAAAACCAAACACTGCATGTTCTCATTCATAAGTGAGAGTTGAACAGTGAGAACACATGGACACAGGGAGGGGAACATCACGCACCGGGGCCTGTCGGGGGTTTGGGGGAAAGGGGACAGAGAGCATCAGGACAAATATCTAATGCATGTGGGGCTTAAAACCTGAACGACAGGTTGACAGGTGCAGCAAACCACCATGGCACATGTATACTCACGTAACATACCTGCACATTCAGCACATATATCCCAGAACTTCAAGTAAAATTTAAAATATATATATATATTCTGCTAGAAACTTAATCCATAGCTATTTTTACAAGCACATAAAATGTCATATGTCCAAATAAATTTTTGTTTGGGCTAGATGTGATGGCTCACGCCTGTAATCTCAGCACTTTCAGAGGCTGAGGTGGGCAGATCACCTGAGGTCAGGAGTTCGAGACCAGCCTGGCCAATATGGCAAAACCCTGCCTCTACTAAAAATACAAAAATTAGCCAGTACGGTGGCGCACACCTGTAGTCCCAGCTACGCGGCAGGCTGAGGCAGGAGAATCACCTGAACCAGGGAGTCAGAGGTTGCAGTGAGCTGAGATCTCACCACTGCACTCCAGGCTGGGCAAGAGCGAGACTCTGTCTAAATAAATAAATAAATAATAAATTTGTGTTTGTTTTCCTTTTGCCCTGTTGTTTGTTCAGGTCAACCATCCTTATCCACCATGCTAAAATTCAGAAAACTCCAAAAATCATTATTTTTTCATAACTTATTTGTTTGGAAAATTTGATCTATCTAGCATGAGGCTATTTATAGCCTTTATTCTACTTTCTGTGAATATCCATACAGTTTGCTATAGGATATTAATACATTGATTACAGGGTACTATCCCAGACTCTGCTGACCATCTACATTGGTATGTGGATTTTACACTATGCTACCCTTCCAAAAATTTCCCCAAGTTTCTGAATATCAAAAGACATCTGGCCCAAAGGCTTTTGAATAAAGAACACAGAACTGTGAGAGCTAAAGATTTGGAAAAAAATCTAAATTCACTCCAAAAGGGAACTTGTTAAATAAATTCAGGGTGCATTTAGATCATGGAATTCTATGCAGCTATAGGAAGAAAGAGAGTAAGAAAACTGATGTATCAAAAGTGAAAGACTAGAAAGATTTCTAAGCTATCATCTGAGAAAAATCACTTGCCTCAAATACGCTTACATTTTTTTTTTTGGATACACACAGGGAAGAAACTACTAAGCATTTTGGGAAGAGGGGAAGGGAACAGGGAATTGAGCGCATGACGGAAAGAGCCGGGACGACTTTCTACCTTTTTATATACGTTAATATGTAAGCTGTGTTAGTCAAATATTTAAGTATAAATTACAAAAAATACAGAAATGACATTTAATATTAGCATTTCTATCAGAATAACAAATTGGAAACCATGAAGCTACTCACAGAAAGAAGTAGGAACACCAAAGTCAAAGTCGGCCTTGAGGGCATTCGCAGACCCTTATAACTTAAATTGAGCTTTACAGAGCCTCGTGCGGTACAGAAGACAAGACACGATCAACAGAGGCCCACGAAGAGAAGTTCCACAGAAAACCGAACAGCTGCATCCCCACAGTGCTGTGCCCTCGGCATGAGAAAGAACTAACTTCAAAACCTGCCTGCCCCACCCAGGGAACGACGCCCAGTACAAGAGATAAATAAATCTCATTTAAGTGTTCTTCACCAAAACCTGGTGCTCACATGAGCTTGCTGCCCAGCTCCCCCCACATCAGCCAGAAGGAAGGTGATCCCCAACAGAAGAGCTGAGATAAACAAAGGAAGGACAAAGGAAGTGGGAACCACGTGGATGCATCCAGACAAACACTGGAACAACAAAATAATAATGTTTATAGGTTAAAAAAAACACAAAACAGAACTAAGCACGTCAACTCAGCGGGATGAACACATGTTAGAGGGGAAGGTTATACTAACTTTAGGCTTTGGCAATTTAAGAATGCATTTAAAATTTTCTAGGCTAACCACTAAAAGAACAGAAATGGGTATATAGTGTGCAAACTGGTAGTGGGAAGCAAATATGAAAAACAATTATTTCCAATTAAAGCAAAAAACGGAGAAAAGTTTGCACAAACAGTTCAAAATAAGAGGTAGAATTTATAAATCTCATATTGTTACCTACAATAAACATATTTAAATGGATTAACTTTAAGGAAAACTTAGGATTTTTAAAAAATTTCTAACTCTGTGTTATTTATATTAAACATCTCAAACATGTGTACGTGGAAAGGCTCGGAGAAAAATGGTGGGAAAAGATACACCTGACAATAAAGATCAAGTAGAGGCTGCTTTTATGTATCTTACAACAAATTTACCTAGAAGCAAAAAGCACTGATAGAAGTGTTATTGATCAAAAATGTAATTCATCAGACAGATAAAAACTGCAAACTTTTTATATGCCCCTAATCACAAAGCTTCAGGATAATGGGTGCGATATGCCCCTTTATGGCCCATGGAGACCTCCACGTCACTCTTTTCCTATTACTATACATTATTACCATAGTCTGCAACAGCAGTTGGCCATTTTTTTTCTGTAAAGGGCCAGACTGCTCCTGTTCTAAGTTCTGAAGGCCACGCAGGTTTTGTTGCTACTCCTCAACTCCGCCATGGAAGCATACAAGCAGCCATAGACATTGTGCAAAAGAATGAGTGTGGTCATGCTCCAAGAAAACTTAATCATAGACAGTGACGCTTGAATTTCTTCTAGCTGTCATGTCGTCATAAGATACTGTTCTTTTAAAAGTTTTGATCATTTAAAATTGCAGAAAAGTATTCATACACCTTAGGAGAAACAGGCAGTAGGCAGGTGTGGACTGCAGGCTGTAGTGTGCCAGCCTGGCCTAGGCTTCTGGGCTTCCCAGGGCTGGTTCCCCCATGCTGCAGTAACTCCCTGTGCGCCGGATGGCGGGAGACTCTTCATTTGTATCTGAGGGAGCTACACCCACATGTTCAGACTAGTATACTAAATAGGGCTGTTATTCCTGAGAAAGACCCAAGAATTCAGATAAAAAGGAGCGAAATTTGGAACTCTCAAGCCATAAAGAGCTGGCTAAATATTCCTGTCCAGGAATCAATCAACCTACTCGCATAGTAACTCTCCTAAGTAGTTCATTACTCATAATCCATGGTTATTCTCCTTCGTCTGTAACACATACTTAACAGTACTACGTAACTTTTTGTCCCTATTTTGTGGACTTTTTAATGCCTTAAAAACAGAGCCCAGGCTCCTTCTGGGAGCAGTGGCTGTGTCTTCACTTCTCTGCACAGGCCCACAGCACTGACTTTGGAAAGATGCTGAACGCCTTGTGCTGAAGATGTGGAACGTTGTTTGATTAAGGGCTCTGAGTCAGCAGTACTATCTCACTGGGCTTTCCTTTGAACAGAAACGTGAGAGCCGGGAATTCTCAGCCATCGGTACCCGTTGATTGTGTCTATGCTGGGATGTACCAGGTGATACAGAGATTAGGCCAATGAAGGAGCCGGCATTTAAACAAGAAACACCAAAACCACTTACGTTGCCAAACAAAAGGTTTTATAACCATAATGGCCTGAAATACAAAATACCAGGGAAACAGCGACCCTGGCATGATTTGTGGCTGAAGCTAAAGGAAGCCAGAAGGTCTCAGAGAGGAAGTTACACCTGCAGCCTCCCTGGGTAAGGGCTCCGACTCTGCCGGCTTCCACACAGGAGGACAGGCAGACCCGTCCAGAGGCGTGAAGGGATCCGCATCGTTTCCCAGAGCCGTGGGGTACACCCAACGCCCCATTCCGCTGTTCTGCAAGGGCCCAGCTCCTCTTCTGAGCAATGGCCATGGATAACACAGGTGGATCAGAGCGGAGTTTGCAACCTGGTGGGGCCCAGATGGATGCGAGGCCACAGCTAGACTTGATGTGGCTGAGACAGTTTTTAAATGTTTTAAATTAAGGTGCCATTATCTTAAACATGAAAATATTGGACAAAAATCTAGAATTGTGGTTCCTTTTACATAATCCAAGCCCTTCTCAAAATAGAGACCTTGTTACCACATGGCACCAGCTGGCTGTGCCTGAGTAGTTGTCCCTTCAGAGGGCGCCTGGGTGGTGGGGTCAGTGGGTCAGGGGGTGGCACCGTCTCTCCAGGTTCCTAAGGCCCTCTCTCCATGGGCTGGGCTCACAGCACGGACTGCCCTGGCTGTGTGGACTATGAGTGTGTCCCCAGACGAGGGGCCAACTGGGGACCACAGCACCGCTCACGGATCATCTACGACCCTGCACTTCGAAAGCTCTGTGAGCCAACCCTGTATTGCAGCTTCAACTTCAGACTTCAAAGTTCTTTCTTATTTTACTGAGTTGGGGTGCAAGGAAAGGAGAAGGCAGATACTGAGGGACGACAATTCTGGGCGGAACCCAGGTGTGAAATGCCCGCCACATACCTGGAGACCCGAAGTACCTGAGGGTCACCTCTTGCGTCTTCACCTCTCCGGCCACGTTCTTTGCCATGCACTGGTAGATACCCTGGTCCGTCTCCTGTGTGTTCTGGATCATCAGGGTCCCATCGTCCAGCAAGTTTAGGCGGGAATCTGTCTTCATGCTCAGCTCATTACTACAAAGACAGAAATTTGGTCTGGTCAAGTGTTGAAAGCACAAACACGTACCTCACCCATCCCCAGCACAGGGGTTTCCAGCCTTGCAGCAGGCGTATCAGAGCTCGTGCGAGCAACAGCTCACCTTCCAGGGTCTCCTCCTTCCTGGCAGCCCCTGACCTAACAGGCAATTCTGAAAAGGGGACCGTGTATTCGCACATCTCATTCACTCAGATACTTATCCTTAGTATTCACGTGTTCGATCTATCTACATGTTTTAAAGTGTTCCTAATTCCAAAGGAGAAAGCAATGAACAAAATGGAAAAAATTCCAAGGAAACATTTGTTTTTGTTTCTGGTGAATTAACTAAAAAGGGTAGAAACATTTTTACACTACTAAACGCCGAAGATATACCTACGTGTATTTTATTTTTTTATTTTAGAGACAGAGTCTCACTCTGCAGCCCAGGCTGGAGTGCCGTGGTATAACCATGGCTCACTGCAGCCTCAGCCTCCTGGGCTCAAGCGCTCCTCCTGCCTCCAGCTCTGAAAGTGCTGGGACTGCAGGAGTGTGCCAGGGCCTCTCTATCTGTATTTTAACAAACAGTGCCTGCAAGCTGCTGGCTGGCCTCCCTCTGGGATCTGGGAGGAACCTGTGGAGCTGCACCATGAACAGGCCAGGACATGGGTGACCTCACCCTCACATGGCTCGGTCAGTCCTCGGGCAGTAATGACCTCCCCGGGGCCACGCTGCATCACACACACTTCGGCAGCCAAGAAAAGCTGCAACACCTTTACCCCAATGCTCAGTCCTGCCGCCTCCCCCCTCACCCAACCGGAACTTAAAGGCTGCAACACCTTTACCCCAATGCTCAGTCCTGCCGCCTCTCACCCTCACCCACCTGTAACTTTGCTTTAGTTCCCTTTATACAGAAGCAGATGAAGAGGAGAGAGGTGACACTGGATGCCACTGAGATCACAGTCTATGGCAAGTGTGAGGACTGAGTAAGAACAGCCAGGCACGGAGCCCTCTGAGAATGCAGATGGGCCTACGAGAACTCCTGCTTCCAGATCGTCAAGAGAGACAAGGCCTCTGTGAAACAGAAACCCACTTCCACCGTGCACGAGATTCATCATCTTCCATGCGCGTTTCCTAAGGAATGTGTGGAGCCTGCACCACACTGGGTCATTCATGCAGGAGGAGCAGCCCCCGCACTGTGCAAAAGCACTTTCCCACGACCGCCCTCAGACACCTGCTAGCTTGCTGCCAAACCATCGGCGACGCTCTCGAAAGACCAACACCCACCTTCTCCCAAATCTTCCTCATGCTCTCCTCTGCCTGGCACTAATCCCCCAACCTGCAATCTGTCCTTACTCACAGGGCTTGCTAGACGGAAGCAATGTCAGCTCAGGCCCGATAAATACGACTCTCTCTGATGTGGCCCAATCCCCTGCCCAGAAACACGGCAAGCCAGCAGGTGAGGCTGGCCTGCAGGTGACTCTGGGTGTTAGGTAAGGCCAGCCAGCAGGCAGGTGAGGCCAGCAGGTGAGACTCCAGCTGGTGGAGAGCAGAACCCAGCACAGGTCACCAGGCCTCAGGACCTCGGCTCGAGCTCTGCCATATTTAGCTGTGAGATTTCAACTTCGGGCATCAATTTTTTCATATATTAAATGTAGGTGTGATGGACTGGCGCCAAATTTATGCTTCCCTGACTTTTACATGCACACAACATAATATACTGCAGAATTCCTCCAGTGTTCTCTGGATTTTAAATCTCATCTACTTGGGAGTCATCCAAGACAAGAACTGTGAACAGAGTGACGGCACCTTACAGGCTGCTTGTCCGGTACTGCAGCCAAGGTCAACATGACCTTTCAGTCATGAGGATAACAAAATCTAGAGCTGGAACAAACCTCTCATGTCCTCTTCAGCATGGACACATCTTCCCATTCTGTTCGTGACAACTGGGGGCAGCCAGTTCCCTGCTCCTGTCCATCTCTTCTATAAACACCGCCTTGCCCGAGAGCCAAGCCCAGCCCGGTTTGCCTCTGGAGTCTGGAACAATGACTCAGTGTGTGCCTCATCTATCTGCCCGAGTATCACAGGGCTCACATCTCAGACGCATCCCTCTTGCTCCCTCATGACTAAACATGGCCAGAGAGGAGCAGCGCAGGAGCGCTGGGGCTGGGCCGGCAGGAGGAGCTCCTTCAGAAGCTGTCCTCACGCAGGCAGATGGGAGAAGACAGGACATGGTGGCTTTACTTCACGATTTTCTTTTAAGGATTCCTTTCAAAAGGTCACTTTGAAATTGCTCCACTCCAACTCAGGACCCTCAGTGATTTGACCCCAGGTGCCTTTGGGCAATCTGACCTCATTCCCACCTAGGCCTCTCTGCCCCCGCACCATAGGTCCTGCCCCACCCACCCCCCTTGCACGCCTTTCACCTCCTCCCACCTCCCACCTCTCCCCGTAGACTCCACTACTCCTTCACCAACACGGCCCCAGCTCGCAAACCTGAGCGGGGCAGGGGTGCTCCCCACACCTGGGCTCACAGGTGCGGCTTGCTGCCGGAACACGTAATGGTCAGCGGTAGGACTTCCCTCTGTCACCCTGACAGCCAGCAGCCGGGACCAACTTAGCCTTAACAGGACCACACCATGTTTGTGGACACAAGGGGAGACTTTCTTTGTTTGGGAGACAAGTTAGATCTACATGGGAGCTGAGCAAATCTGTGTCAGCGGCTGCACGGCACTTGTCTCCTGAAGACGCCATCCCGGCAGAGGTCAGGACCCCGCCCACACCCGCTCAGGTTGGTCACAATGCCCCAGGTCAAGGCTGCCAACGACAGTGACCAGAGCAAACAGGCTGCTGCCAGAGGTCAGTGGGCAGCAGAGAACAAGCAGCAAGCTCTCCTTCCCTCCCACTGGGCAGGGCCGCAGGAACACGGTGCCCGGTCAGGGCACCCCTGTGCTGCCCAGGAGAGAGTGGGGAAGGGGCCCGAGCGTGGCAGAAACGTCGTCACACCCCCTGCCATGTAAGACCGGAAAAGAGCAGAAATATCTCATCCCTTGTACTTTTCCCTACGTGGCGGGGGAAGAGTGGACGTGGGCCTTGGTGGGGAGTGAGGTGCAGTTTGGGTGTTCAGGTGTAACTCTGAGAGATGCATGGGGGACATTTCTGTTTGGCCCCAACTCACTTGTTTCGCAGCCAGATGATCTCAGGCTTGGGGTTGCCTTCAGCTCGGCAAGTGAAGTACACGGTGTTCCCCGAGGTCACGTCTGCATCCTGGGGCTCGGATGTGATCCGGGGCCTTTCTGTGCCCAACAAGAAAATGGAAACCTTTTTAGTGTAAACCATGACATGAAAATAAACGACAACCCACGTTGAGTCCTTTGTGTCCAAGAGAAAACCACAGATGCCCAAAGGCGTAATTCAGCCATAAACGTCCACCACAAAATTGCCAGACCGGCTTCCCTACAGCCCCGTCTACGGTGTGGATCCACATGATGTCTGCGCCAAAGGGCGCCATGTTCTGACCACCTGAGGGACAGGCTGGCTCAGAGCCGGGCAGATGAGCCCCAAATGACAGCCTTCGGCGTCCCCTGAAGGCCCTTCGGGAAAGCCAAACACCAGTGCAGAGTGGACACGCCACAGGTCACTATTTTCAGTGAATAAAAGACAAAAAATCGTACTCTGTAGATAAAGCATCGCTGAAAGAATAAGTCTCTAAAAGCACAGGCAGGTGGCAGACACCACAGCTGGAGCAACTCCCAGCCTCCCTCCTCCACAGCTGCCCCGCCCCTCACCCTCCACCCTGGACAAGGGGAAGAACGGCCTCTCCTGCCTCCTGCGTGCCCTGACTCCACACAGCTTCCAGCAGCCACCCGAGGGCTGACGGCTCCCAGGGGCCACCCGAGGGCTGACGGCTCCCAGGCTCCTGTCCCTGGCGGCCGCTCCGGAGCTCCAGGCCTGAACAGGGAGCGGCCTTCTCTAAGGCTCCCTTCAGCAGCCGTGAGGGAACCACGCTGAGGGCAGGCCTAGGCTCCCATCTCTGCCTCATCACCTCAGTGTGCAAATCTGTCTCCAGGTACATGCTGTGAGCATCACAAGAAGAAAAACACAATCACATGCAGGTGTGTACAAGTGAGTGCCTGCAGTGGGGCACACACAAGCGCAGGTACGAGTGTGTGTGTGCACTGGAGCTGACTCTGCTCAGCGCTGCCATTCTGCCTGGCAACCAAAACAAAGGCCCTCGGACCCAACTGGGGGCCGTCAGCAAGGGCTCCTCCTGGACGGCCTCCTTCCGTCTCCCCAGCATTGCACAGCCCAGGTCGCGAGGCTGGGGCGGCTCTGCCCAGCCCTCCCCGTGCTCCCACATCACTCTGGGAACCGTGCCCCCTCTTCTCTCTCCTCTGCGGCACTGGAGCCCTTGGCTTCATGAAGGTTCTCACCCCTCCGGCCTTACTCCGGCCTCCCCGCCTGCCTCACACACTCCCCAGTTCCCTCTCCCTAGGGTTGCCAAAAAGCTCCTCCTAGAATACAAACATCCCAACATTCTGTAAACCCTCCCATGGCTCCCCATCACCACAAAATCAAAATAAGCTTTCACTGCTTTCTTCATTATTTAGGCTGCACACCTCTGCAGGCATCCTAAAACCCACCTAATAATACACCTGAACAGGGTGAATTGTCTGGCACGGCAACAACACCTCCATAAAGCTATTATAAAAAACAAGAATAATCACTGACAGCCAAATTGGAGTACGACGAGATCTCCAAGGGCACAACCTCAGGAGCATTAGCGGCAACGACAGGGCCTCGACTGATTCACGGGGACGCACACAGCTTAGCAGAGCTGCCAAGTTGGGCAGCACAGGTCCCTGGGCCCCCCGAGCACCGAGGGCCCTCCCGTCAGGGACGCGTGGGGCAGCTCCTTCCATCGGGGCTGTTTCTGGAGCCGCTGACAGCCAGTGCCCTGCAGAGCTGAGGGCGGGGTCTGCGGCCGGGGTGGGAAGGCAGTGCAGGCAGGCGGCGGCACAGGGGTCTGGGCCTCTTTTGCTCCCCAGGCCAGAAACCTGAGTGGTGTAGTACCCCCAGCCACCAGGCAGCTCTCAGTTCTAACTGCCCCTGCCATAGCTCCATCAAGAACTGAGCTAGAAGAAACTTTAAAAAAAACCTATGTATTTTTGTCATATTGTAAAACCATCACACAGGGAGAGCCTTTCACCTTTACCGAAATAAACAGCCGTGTGTGTGCGTGCCTGTGTGCGTATGTGTGTGTGTCTC